GTTTACATTTTGCATTTCCGGGGAGGTTCCTGCCTCCCTTAGCTGACACCTGTCTTTCCAAACCGAGACACCCTCCCAGCAGAAGCAGCAGCCCCCAGTGTGCCCAGTACCTCTCTGGCCATCTGAGAGGCTTGCTGGTTGCGGCGGTAGAAGATCTCCTTGTAGTCGTCCATCCAGACCTCGGCCAGGCGCACCTGGTTGCGGGAGATCACCTGGGTGCCCTTGGGGAAGGTGTGGGGGCTCTTGGAGCGGAACACGTGGCCCACGACGGAGCAGGGGATGATCTCCACCTGTCCCCCGCACTGCCACACCTGCAGGGAAGCCACACCTGAGGTGGGGGGGTCTGGCCCCCTGGCCCCCCAACAGGGAGCTCCCTGGAGGTGCCCTCAGAAGGTGACCCCTGTCCTTACCCTGAAGGACATTTCCACGTTCTCACCCCCCCAAATCTCCATCTGGTCGTCGTAGGAGCCGATGTGCTCAAAGTAGGACCTGGAGATGGCAAAGAGGCCACCTGCAAAGGTCGGGGATCTGCAGGGGGAAAGAAGGGGTAAAACACAAATAAAAGAGGAGAAATCCGAGTTTTGGGAAATAAGAGTGCCCCTCCATCCAGCTGTGGTGGTTTTGGCTGGGCTGCTGGGAGGGGACAGAGGTGACAGCGTGACACGGAGGGGCCTCGCCGCCGGCTGGATTCAAAGTGAAAAGAGGATATTGTTACCAAAAACCTGTTGCCAAAAAGAGGAGGAGGTCAGAGCTCGGTGCCCCAATCCCTCCTCCCGCTTCCCTAATCTTTTCCATCTGAGGCTGGAACAGAACCTTGCTTTTATTCAGGAAAAATAATGAACGCCAAGGACTCGCTGAGCTGCTGGGGACGAGGCAGCGGCGGGAGCCAAGCGCCCGGCTGGAGGTGAAAGGGGCCTTTATGGGGACAGGAGCGTCGCCCAGGTGACCCGAGCACAAAGCCAGCCCCGCGGCCGGGGTGGGGCCGGGTGTCCGGTGTCTCCCAGTGGGGGCACCGGGGAGAGGTGGGAAAACCACCCAGGCTCTGTCTGCATGTCAAACAGAGGCATAAGAGGGGGGATTTTGGCACAGCCTGATCCACAGGTGACCTGTTCTGTGCGGGGGCACCTGGGCACCGAGGGTGAGAAGGCAGAGACAGCAATTAAATCCTTAATGGGAGCGAGAGCAATGAAATCTTAAATGCCAGAGCGAGAGCAATGAAATCCTAAATGCCAAAGCGAGAGCAATGAAATCCTAAATGCTGGAGCGAGAGGCAGCTGGAGGAGACTCTAAGGTCCATTTTGGCCCCAAGGGAGGTTTGTCCTCCACCAACCCTCCAGCTCTGACCGTGCTCAGGCACAAATTCCCAACATCTCCTATGCCAAAATCCCAGGGGAGAACCCTGCTGGGAAAGGGCAGCACTGCCCACCCAGAGGCACCAAAACCAAGAACACCTGTCGCAGACATCTTTTATGGAAAATCCTTTCCTTAGGATTTTTCCTCCTGAGAAGCTGAGAGGCCTCAGGAACAAAATGTAAACATTGATTATCTGCTGCTGTGGAATGCAACAGGTGGATCTGTGATTGGCCCATGTTGGTTATTTCTAATTAATGGCCAATCACAGCCCAGCTGGCTCAGACAGAGTCCAAGACAGAGCCTTTGTTATCATTCTTTACTATTCTATTCTTAGCCAGCCTTCTGATGAAATCCTTTTTTCTATTCTTTTGTATAGTTTTAATGTAATATATATAATAAAATAATAAATCAAGCCTTCTGAAACATGGAGTCAGATCCTCATCTCTTCCCTCAACCTGAGACCCCTGTGAACACGGTCACAAACACCAATTTGTTGGAAGATAGAGCAAACCCAGCAGCATAAAGCATCCTGTGCTGGGCTTACTTGATGGGGTAGGTCTCATCCTTCCTGCGCTGCCTCTCCCGCGCCGGAACCACCTCCCAGCCGAAGGTCAGGCTCCAGTCGAAGTTGCCCCGGCTGTGCTGCTTCCCGTTCTGCACGGGCTTGGAGAACTCGAAGGTGTTGAGGTCGATGGTGGCGATGTCGGGGCTCACCACGGCCGTGGGCTCCTCGGCGATGCGTGACAGGAGAGGCTCCAGCCAGCCGTGGAAACACTCGCCTGGGACACAGGCAGGGCTGAGCGGGGCCGGGGAAATCCACAGCGCCCGGGGCACGCATGGGTGACACTCATGGAGTCACAGGGTGTCACGGGGGGACGCTCGCAGGGTCACAGGGTGTCACGGGGGGAATAAGGGGACACTGACAGTGTCACAGGGTGTTGCGGGGCGGACAATCACAGGGTGTCATGAGGGTACACTCACGGTATCACAGGGTGTCATGGGGGGACACACAGGGTGTCACAGGGCGTCATGGGGGGACACTCATGCACTCATGGTGGGCACTCATGGTGTCACAGGGTGTCACGGGGGGACACTCACAGGGTGTCACAGGGTGTCACAGGGGGGACACTCACAGGGTCACAGGGTGTCACAAGGGACACTCACAGTTCCACAGGGTGTCATGGGGGGACACTCACAGGGTGTCATGGGGTGCCACAGGGGAGACACTCACGGGGTCACAGGGTGTCATGGGGGGACACTCACAGTGTCATGGGGTGTCACGGGGGGACACTCACAGTGCCACAGGGAGTCACTGGGAGGACACTCATGGTGTCATGGGGGGACACTCACAGTGGGCATCCAGGAAGGTCAGCACCTCCCCGCTGGCCACGCTGGCCCCCAGCAGCCGTGCCGTGATGAGCCCCTTGCGCTCGCGCTGCCGCACCACACGCACGATCTGCAGCTGCTCCACGTAGCGATCCAGCTCCTCCTTCAGGTACTCTGAGGGTGGGAAAACCACTTGGAACCATCAGTCCCTGCATCCCACCAGCCCATCCTGCTGCCCCATCAATCCCATTGATCCCATCCCATCGATCCCATTTTATCCCATCCCATGAATACCATTCCAAATCCCATCAATACCATCAAACCCATCCCACCCCATCCCAGATCCCATCCCATAAATCCCATTGATCCCATAAATCCCATCCCATCAATCCCATTTTATCCCATCCCATAAATCCCATTCCAAATCCCATCAATACCATCAAACCCATCCCACCCCATCCCATCTCCCAGATTCCATCCCATAAATCCCATTGATCCCATAAATCCCATCCCATCAATCCCATTGATCCCATCTTGTTCCATCCCATAAATCCCATTCCAAATTGCATCTCTCCCATCCCATGCCAAATCCCATCTCTCTCATCAATACCATCAATCCCATCCCATCTCCCAAATCCCATCGATCCCATAAACCCCATCCCATAAATCCCATCCTATAAATCCCATTGATCCCATCCCCATCCCCTGCTGCTCACACTCTGCAGTTGGGTTTGGGTTCAGGGACACCTGAGCCTTTGCCCCAAACCCAAGTGTATTTTTGGCTAAAGAAAATGAGTTTTATAAGGGTCTAAGCCCCTCCTGTCTAATCCCTCTCTGGAGAGGGACTGGGTGTTGGCAGGATGGGTGAGGAGGTCACATCCCTGCACTTGAAGTGTCACCAGGACCAAGCTGGTCCTGGGGGAAGGAGTGACCAGAGGAACCCGGGGTTTCTTGGCAGATGCAGCCAAGCCAGGAGCTGGAAATGGCCAGGTGGGAGCTGGGACCCCAAGAAAAGTGTCCTGGGAAGGGAATATGAGTCCAACCCACATCCAGCCCCAGTGGGAGTCGAGCTCTGGGGCAGAGGAACCCTGGGGCACCACGAGGTTCCTGCTCCTCGGGAGCCCGTGGGTGGAAAGGGAGAATTTATCTGGGACAAGGGCAGAGTCCGCTCCTCCCAGTGCCCTGACACTGAACTCCGCGTCAATTAGCTCTGGGTGCTAATTAACGAGGATTACAGCTGGCTGAGGGTGGAGGTTTGTGGGGCGCTCGGTTTGTCCCCAGGGCAGGGATAACAGCGGTGCTGGGAAAGGGAAAATCCCAGGGGTGGATGTGAAATGGGGAACGGCTGCTGGGAGATCCCGGGATATTGGGAGTGTGAGTGGCTCAGGGCTGCTGCTCCCAGGCTTGGAAAGGGGCTTGGTGTCCCCTGCATCCTGCTGATCCCACATCCCGCTTCCCTCTGGCACCTGAATCTCCTCACTGCTCCCTCACAGCTCCCTGTGGCTCCTGCATCCCTGTCACTCCCCCATCCCACCACGGCTTGTCCTACCTCCCTCTGGCATCCACATCCCACCACAATTCCTGCATCCCTCTGATCCACATCCCACCACAGCTTATCCTATCTCCCTCTGGCATCCACATCCCACATGGCTCCTGCACCCCTCTGGCTCCTGCTTTCCACCAGGGCTCCTACATCTCTCTGACCCACATCCCACCACGGTCCCTACCATCCCTCTGGCATCCATATCCCATCACAATTCCTGCACCCTTCTGGCTCCTGCATCTCTCTGACCCACATCACACCACAGCTCCTGCACCTCTCTGACCCCACATTTCACCATGCACCCTGCACCTTTCTGACCCACATCCCACCACAACTCCTGCATCCCTCTGACCCACATCCCACCGTGCTCCCTGCATCCCTCTGACCCCCATCCCATCACAAATCCTGCATCCCCCTGATCTACAACCCACCATTGTTGCTGCATCCTTCTGGCCCACATTCCACCACAGCTCCCACATCCTTCTGGCCCCACATCCCTCTGATCCACTTCCCACCATGCTCCCTGTGTCCCTCTGGCCTCACATCCCACCACAACTCCTGCACCCCTCTGACCCACATCTCATCACAACTCCTGCATCTCTCTGACCCCACATTCCACCGTGCTCCCTGAACCCCTCTGGCCCACACCCCAAGGTGCTCCCTGCACCCCTCTGTCCCCGTGTCCCCCACGCACCGTCCGTGCTGGCATCGTCCACCAGGATGACCTCTCGGAGCAGGCGGGCCGGGGACGAGTGCAGGACGCTGTAGACCGTGCGGAGCAGGGTGGACCAGGCCTCGTTGTGGAACACGATCACCACGCTGGTGGTGGGGAGGGGAGGGCAGCGCTTGAACTTCTGATCGATGCACCTGGGGGGGCAGAATGGGGGGGTGAAGGGGGAGGCACGACTGGAGAGACCCCCGATATCCCACCCCCAAACCCCACAGCGGCAGGGGAGCAGCTCTGGCCGACTCGTCCCTGCTTTGATTCCCATTGATTTTGGTTGAGCGAGCCCCATTGCCGGCCTCCGTGTCCCCCCTTTGTCACCGCCACACCTGCTAAGCACGGATAATCGCCTGCCAGCGCGGGGGGCTGGATTCCTCCATCCTTTTCAAGGCTTTTTCCATCCCGAATTCCCCCCCATGTCTCCCCCATCCCACCCCTCCGCGCGGGCCCCGCTTTAATCCGGCAGCCCCTGGCCGAGGGCAGGCGGGGAAATCTCTGGAGTTTCCCTCTTTCCCTGCCCCCGACCCCAGCGGGGTCCGAGGCTGTTCCACTCCGCTAAGAAAAGAAAAAGTCTGACCGCTGGAGCCGCTGGGATAAAGGAGGGAGAGGAGGGAAAGGCGGGGAGGCGCCGGAGCCACCAAGCAGGTACAGGGAGACACAAAGAGCCTGCTGCCACTAAACCCGCCCCCAAGGGGCCAAAATTAGGGAGAAAAATAATAAATAATTTCCTTTTTTTTTTTTTAGCTCTGTCTGCATTCAATCCTCTGCCAGTTCTGGGTGACATCCTGCCCCCAATCTGTTTTAACTTTCCCTAAAATTTAAGGGAATAAACGGCCAGGTTGAAGGGATTAAGTGGCTAGACCGAAGGGAGTAAGTGGCCAGATTTAAGGGG